CGAAAGTAAACGTAACTTCTTAAACGGAAAGAATTCTTTCCAGTTGTATTTTTCTTAACTGAACCGTTTCTCCGTGTTATTATTTTACTGAAAAACTGATTTCTGTTCATTATTCTTTTTTATTATACACACTTTACATTGTCTCTTCACAACCCCGTTGTTATTGAGTGGCGCATATGTATTTGGTGTCCCCATGCACTAATGTCTATGTTCAAACAAACATAAATTTTAGCAATGAGTAACAGACCGGATACAGCGTAATTTAAATATAATAACATGGTGATGACCAGAAAATAAGTTTGCATCATGAAATCAACAAGACAATGATTACAAAGCCGAAAGTATTAGGAATGCTTAATAATTTTTGATGGTAGATATTAAAAGTAAATCTACCGTAGATTTCGAACCAGTAGAACAAAAAATTGATGAAACTGAATTAATACGGAATATACCCATTCTGCAATTACTTGTCTACAGGCCACACTTTAGCTACGAGAGTTAATGATGCTACCGAAATAAACGGACGGGGCTCGAACCCGAGGCTTAGTGGGTGAAAGTTGAACACCCTAACCACGAAGCCCCCTGGCGAGGTTTGTTGATCGATCAAAGCTTCTGGACTACATCAACACAAAGAGATGAGACTGTGCGGAAGTATCATTGACAGTAAATATTCATTCACACAGTTGGTCAGTTACAACGTAGGACCTGATACGTATGTACATCGATTCAAGTAAAGACTAGGTACATACAGTATGATTCAATAATTAATTAGTTGAATAAAAGACCAACGACATAAGGGAGAACAAATATTAGGTGCGTCTGTGTTATTATGATCCATTACGAATCATCCTACTCATCTCCAACCTATACGGTACAGTCCATCAGTAATTTCAACTAAACATGATGTGGTAATACTATAAGTAAACGAAGTACAAACTGCGATGTGATAGAACTTACAACAGAGGCTGCCTAGTGTTATATTTGGACTAGAAAACTGCAAAAATAATGCAAACCCTTGACATTTGTCATAAACTATATGTTTAAATTGATTAAAAATGAGTAGCCAATAATGGAACGGAGTTAATTATTCTTACCGCTTTCTCAGCTTTTTTCTGCTTAACTGTGTTGGATAACACTTTGGCAGAGATCTGTTCACCACGATCTAAAAGATATGCAGGTACTTCGCCAGATCGCCCAGCTTCATCGACTTTTTGGTTTTTTCCTTTTAACTCGTGCATACGTAAACTAGGAAGGTAATAACTTCGGCTTAAAGTCTCACGTCTTTTTCATTTGAACTTTTTCTTTAAACCTTTCTTTATTGGCAATTTTTGCCTTTAATCCTCGAAGCTTTTTGGCCTTACGACTTCTTTCATGAGGTTCACGAGCCTCTTTTTTCCGCCTGAAACATCATAAACCAGGTAGACAAAGACTGACTTTCTTTCAAAATAGTCAAAGCGATACCCATGGCGTTTGCGATGAAGCTCAATATGCTCGTTTTGAGGCTAAACAATAGGTCATATGGTATTATACAAACTCACCATGTGATTACTATTGAGATTAGCGTCAAGGGTCCTGCCCACGACCTTCAGGTGATGCCAGTAAACAACAAGGACTCATTTTGTTCCCAGTGTTTATGAATGAAATATAATAAGCTTCCGTCCGGCCAACTTCAGTTTTTAATAATAAGGTTTTGCCGATGTCTCCAGGACGGTGGGTCTGTGGTTCATATATACAACAATGACTCAGCCTTTCATTGTTTGGCGGCTGATATGGATTCTAACACTGTAGCACGTTCGAAATCCTGTGCTACTGATCTTTTGTTTCGATTATCAGATTCTCTAAATGTCACAGTTGTATAATTTCTGACTATTATCAATGGTTTTTGCTACTAAAGGTATTTGCTTTCTCAGTCATCCACCCACTTTCATCTTATTCTGTACTCTTCCAGATAATCTCGCTTACTACCCTTAACACTTCCTTAGCATACGATGTATTTCAGTCTGTATGCAAGCCTACCAAAGGTTGAATGTAACGATACATTACTTTCATGCATGGGTGAAATCTAAATCCAGGGTTTTCGGGTATGTGTATGGTGTTTCTAGGTGTTTTCATGAGGCTTGTTTCGTCAATAAGGATATATTAGGATAGTTAGGACAGATTTATTCTGTAACTAGTTTTCGCTTCTATTTGCACTCCTTTCATTAATTCTCATAATTGGTACATTCACTATGAGTGACTGTAAAATAGTTGTTTAAAAATGGATTACCTTGGATTTTCCTATTTCTTTTTTATACTTCATGGCACGACACACTGATTATCGCTCATAAATACACTGATTCACGCATATGCCTCTTCTCAATTACCTGCTGTAGTGATAAAAGAGTCCCAGTGTATTTGCTATCTACGTTTATAGATCACAGTGATACTTTCACAATATGATTTGTCTGGATATACAACTCGAACTATAAAAATCGCGATTGAAAGTACCAACTATTTATAGTTGTGGATCACTAAACCGAAAGCACCTCGAACTTGCCAATTCCCGACAATTTAAGTAGAGTCATGCATATTTTTCTTGTGTGTAGATTATACTTAGTATGTTGTTACATTAGTTTGCAGCGTGGCGTCGAGTTGTGATTAACTATGAACACCGCTACCAAGAAACACGTGCCAAATAGATCAGAAGGCGTAAGAAGCTCGTTCCAAATGACTCCATAAAATCCCGGAGAAGCCGAATACCAGAAGGCAATTAATGGACCAAGTCGAGTTATATTTGCTGGCGATCTCGTGGCATCGAAAGGATACCGAGATCGTGCCAGGATACAACCTTGGTTACAGAAGGTAACCGAATTCGCGCGAAGTTACAATCGAAGTGTAAGTATAAGAATGGAAGCACGAAATAGCTGTCATTAGCACAGTCAAACAAAAGCACATTAAAACAAACACTGGTACAGTTGGTTATAATAATAATTGTTTTTATTAAACCAGTCGTGTTCTCGTGATAAACGTGAGTCACTACAGGAGCCCCCCGCTAGAAAGGGTTTACACTTTCGATAAATAGCGGTTTGAATCGTGGGACTGATCGGCTGACGAGCGATTGTAGGACGGAAGAATTGGCGAACAGGAAAGCGATCGTTGATCGTCGAGTTGCCAACGAAGGTCGTTTTCGGAGAACGGTACCAGGAGCGATGTGCTGTATTTGTTGTTTGAGTTGGCATGCTACACCAGAGTGGTTTGTATCCAGAATCTGAAGATGGCGTTCGTAGGGGTCCGGACCAGAAACGCTGCAGACGTAGGACGAAACCACGTTGATCCGATGAACCAGAAGCGACCATAACGACCAAGTTCGAGACCAAGCGTGTGCCAAACATTCGAAACGAAGATATCGACTGAGTACGTTGACAAGAGCGTGGGTGATCAGGCCAGCTTTCGCCAAAGTTGACTGAAGTCGACGGAACCAAACGGAGATGGTCGAAGGCGTGGGCTCAGGAAACAAAAAGAAAATCAAAAAAGAGAAGAGTGTAGCATGCGTGTAGTATAGGAATAATCCTACACCGTATCGTTTTTTAACTGTGCGGCTAGTCGCGGAAGCGTACGGGTAACCGTACTCGGCGACCGGAACGTGAGACGGTAGTCTCGTTCGCGTCGCGTGAGCCTGCAACCTCATCCGAAGTCAAGGGCGGCGTGGTCTGCTGATCTGGACGTGAGACTGTCGTCTCGTCCGTAGACGGTGCAGATGACGCGTGCTGTTGACTGGGACGTGAGAATGAGGTCTCAGATGTATCTAGCGTGGGACCTGAAGATGATTTGAGGATCCCGCTAGTAGGTTTGCTAGGTCTAGCATTGAATCTCAGGTTGTCAGATAGGGCACTGTCATCGACGTGTGCTGGTTTGAGACGATCAATGTTGACGATCTCGACGCGGCCATGTCGATCAACCTTGAAGGTCATTTCGTGACGAGCGATCACGTGAAAAGGGCCTTCGTAAGGTTGTTGCCAAGGTTTGCGTACCGAATCTACTCGTACAAAAACATGTGAACAGGTAGATAACTCTCGAGGGAGAGCGACCTGTCGATGTTGTATTCGAGTTGACACCGGAGACAGCGTTCACATAAATGCAGACAGTCGACGGACGTTGTCTGATTTACCGAAATTAGGTCTGCTCCGTGGTGTGAAGAATTCTCCGGGCAGACGCAATGTCGTGCCGTATACAAGTTCAAGGGCGGAACATTGGATATCTGCCTTTAAGCTCGTTCTGATCCCTAAAAGAACGAGCGGTAAGGTTTCGTGCCAGTTGCCATTTTCGTGTGCTCGTAGAGCATTTTAAGTTGGCAGTGAAACCGTTTACTTAACCATTTGGTGCTGTGTGGTAGACGGATATGCTCATGCGTATGCATTCCGTACCAAGCAGCCGGGTCAGCGAGGAGAATAGTTAATAGGGTAACATTTCTCGAATAAAGCGTGGAATTCATCATCACGCGAATAAAAAGTGACAAGGATTCGGTACACATACGTGTGAGTCTATTATATTAATACTATTCTTATCGTTATCCGTCATGTCGCGTATATTATATATTAAAAAATATGAAAATATACGACAGACGTGGATAGATAAATCATAGACTCACCGAATTGGCTTCTTTGGAAGATTTGATCAGAAGTTGAGGCGTGTTCCAAAATACGGGTCACCAAATGTAGCGTGGCGTCGAGTCGAAATTGACTATGAACACCGCTACCAAGAAACACGTGCCAAATAGATCAGAAGGCGTAAGAAGCTCGTTCCAAATGTAAGATCCATTTTGAATGTTTTGTGTGTTTGTGAAAATCCCTCCATGTATATACTTGTACTTTGTTCCTATTGATTCCCTTAGTTGTACATTGTTGTATTTTGATTACATTTGAGTTGTTAATACTTGTATTTTTTATTATAGTTTTTGTTTTCTTACGCATTCACTAAGTTTGTGTTTCTTCCTGAACTGCATCTGTGTTGTTTTACTTGACACTTGTTCTTGGCGGTAGCCATATTGATTTGTTCCTCCTGTTGTGTGTGATCTATCCAGCCAGGATAGAATAACGTTGATTTGTTGTGATTGGTAAATTTCTTGCATCCTTTATCAACTTTCTTATTTATTGTAATTAGATTTGATCAATTGAACAATTATTGGTTGGATAGCTGAGTGGTTATATTTGTTTAGGTAATAATGTACACTTAAATTTATGATAAATTATAGAACCGCTATCTTACCCAATTCCTTTGTTTTGGTTTCAATCGGGCGAGGGCGCGTATCTAACTCATCCAGACAGCTGTCCAGCAGTCCAAACGTAGTTTGGATCTTACAGTTCTAAACAAATATTTGGTCGAATTCGTTTGGCTTTCGTTTCGTTGATTCCAATCATCGTCTCTGGGAATATCTGGTCGTTCGCTTCCGATGCCAAACAATCGTCGAAGGAAATTAAGTCCAAGGCTCGTGAATGTTAAAAGAGATGAACAAAAGGATGGATCCCCTCAATCAAGGCAAGTGCCTTCTGATGCTTCTATGTGTCATGGTTCATATTCTAATAGGGACGATTGTAATTATAGTGAATCTAGTTGTGATATAATGGCAGATGGCATAGAAAACCTTAATTTAGACGTGAAGCAAGCAAAAGGCGTAAGGCCTACAGCGTTTTTCATAGGTCCAGAGTTACCAAAGGTTGAGTTAAGTTATTTCGACGGTCAACCAAGAGGTTACTGGAAGTTTTTAAGGGAGTTTGAGACCTATGTGGAATCAAGGGTCAAGGATGATGGTCAACGCTTGCTTTATTTGATACATTATTGTAAGGGTAAAGCGAAAACAGCCATTGAGGGTTGTGTTATGTTGGAAGCCTCTTTTGGTTACAAGAAGGCCAAGGAAATTCTAAAACGGTTGTTCGGACAGGCGCATGTAATCGCTCGGGAGACTTTAGAGGACTTATTCAAAACTACAAATGTTGATTACAGTGATCCTGAGCAACTAACAAATCTAGCTATTAGGATGGAAAATTGTTCTATGGTTTTGAAACAGATGAAGTATACTGCCGACTTAAACTCTTTAATTACCTTAGAGAGAATAGTAGGACTCTTACCTCAAGTTATGCAAGCCCAGTGGGCGGACTGGGTAGATGAATTGACTGAAGATAATAGAGAACCAACCTTTGATGAGCTTACCCAATTTATAGCATCCCGCGCGAGGGTAGCTAATAGTAGGTTTGGACGGTTAGCGAATCGTCCGAGAAAGGGACACAACTTAAAGACAAATTGTCACTTGCAATTGGAGCAGGCGAATAATTCGAAAGAGAAAGCTAAATGCAGTGTGTGTTCCCTGGACCATGCTATTTATAAATGTCCAAATTTTTTAGCGCTTACCGTTCAAGAGAGATGGTCTCACGCGAAGGTTAATGGCATCTGTTTTGTCTGCCTCAGGCAAGGGCATAAAGTTAGTGAATGTAAGCTGGCAAAACGTTGTAACGTTGAGGGTTGTGAAAGGAAACACCATTCTTTGTTACACAGCGAGAGTGAGAAACCTGGTACCTCGAGTTGTTGCGGATATACTAAATCACTAATCAGTCAAGTGTGTTTAGGCATGATTCCCGTACGGTTGAAATCGCGAAAAGCCGAGATTGTGGGTTATGCTCTGTTGGACAACGGTTCTGATGTGACACTGATAAGATCAAACTGTTTGAGGTCTCTCGGGCTGAGCGAAGACGAAGCATCAGTGGTAGTTGAGACTGTGGGCGGTAATAGAACAATGAAGGTCACGAGTGCGCCTTTTGAGGTATATTCTTTAGATCAATCTGAACATGTTACTATTGAAGGAGCTCTGGTTGTAGCGAGTATACCAGGTCATAAGCCAACAAAATCAGCAATGAACAACCTAGTTAAATGGCCACATTTAAGGGATGTACCAATAGGCAACCTAGACTCTGAAGAAGTTCTGCTGTTGATTGGTTGCGATGTACCAGAGGCACACTGGGTGTTAGACCAGCGGTTGGGTGGAAGAAAAGGCCCGTACGCTGTGAAGACGTTGTTGGGGTGGACGGTCTTCGGACCTGCGTCATATCCGGAATACAGGAAAAGAGTTGTCAATCATACCAGTAAGATACAGGCTTTGGAGAACGAAATACGTAAACTTTATGATGTAGAGTTCTCTGATGTTTATTCAAATGATAAATCAGTATCAATAGAAGATAAGGCGGCTATAAGTATTGTAGAAGGGGGCACACGCTTCGAAAATGGTCATTTTGTAGTCCCTATACCATGGAAGGGGAACCCAGATATGAAAGGGGGGAATTATGAAGTGGCAAACAGTAGACTACGGAGTTTGAAGCGTAGATTGTTGAAAGATGACATTCTGTATATCAAGTATACAAAAGGTATTGAAAGTAATTTTATTAAGGGCTACGCGGAGAAAGTCCCTGAAATACAAGTGCAACCTAGTTATCGACCCCGGTGGTATTTACCTCACCATGCAGTTTTAAACCCGAAAAAACCGGAAAAACTGAGAGTGGTATTTGACTGTGCCGCCAAGTTTGCAGGCGTTTCTTTAAACGATATGATTTATCAGGGTCCCGACACAACTGCGGAGTTAGTGTGTATACTATTGCGTTTTCGCAAGGAAGCAGTCGCAATCTCTGCGGATGTGGAAGAAATGTTCATGCAAGTAAAGGTCCCTGAGTCTGATCGAGGAGCCTTAAGATTTCTGTGGTGGCAAGAGGGAGACATGGCGAGGGAACCATCCGAGTTTCAAATGACATCTCATCCATTTGGTGCCACATCATCGCCGTTTTGCGCGAACTTCGCCTTGAATAAGACGGCACAAATATTCTCTGACGGTTATGATGGTTATGTCGTAGATGCTGTTAAGAATAATTTCTATGTTGATGACTGCTTGGTATCCTTTCCCACTTGTGATCAAGCAAAGAGTTTCGTTAAGCAGATAAGTGAATTATTATGTAGGGGAGGTTTTAAACTAAAGAAATGGGTTACTAACTCGGAGGAGGTAAGGACCATCTTGCCCGATGTATGTAAAGAAGAGTCCTTGATAGAAATGTCAGCGAGTTATGACACTACACATCGAACTCTAGGAGTAGAGTGGGATTTTAAACGAGATGTATTCAAGTTTTACTTCGATGCGCCTGAAAGGCCTCTGACTAGGAGAGGGATTCTATCTATAGTTTCTTCTCTGTTCGATCCTTTGGGTTTAATTGCTCCAGTCTGTCTTACTGCCAAGGTTCTCTTGCAAAAACTATGTAAGTCTCAATTAGGCTGGGATCAGCCTCTCAACGAGCCATACGTGTCGGCGTGGCTAAATTGGGTAAACTTTATGCGTCAAATAGGTCATGTTACGGTAGATAGGGGTATCAAGAAGAGAATTGACGAACCCGACGCGGAAGTAGAATTGCACCTGTTCAGTGACGCTTCAGAGATCGGTTACGGAGCAGTCGCGTACGCTCGAGTCAGTTATTTGAAGGAACAACCCTACTGTATTTTGTTATACAGCAAGTCTAGGGTAGCACCTATCAAACAGATCACTATACCGAGGCTAGAGATGGCAGCGGCAGTGTTAAGTGTGAGGCTTAGCGAAGTCTTACGGAGAAGTCTGCCTAATTTTTTCTGTAAGGTAAACTTCCATACAGATTCCATGGTAGTATTGTACTACATCAAGAATATCGAGAATCGCTATAGCACCTATATAGCTAACCGTCTCGCCATTGTGCATCAGTATACGAAGATTGAACAATGGAGTTATGTAAGGTCGTCACAGAATCCAGCTGATTGGACCTCGAGAGGTATACAAAAAATGTCAGATCTTGAGCTTTGGTTCAAATGTCCTACCTTACTGCATGGCGAATTTTGTACAGCAATCACTGACTGTCCGGAACCTACTCCTGACGATATTGAGTTTAGAAAAACTGCCGTGGTTAACTTGAGTAGTATAAAGTACAACATGTCACCTATTCTCGCTTATTATTCTGAGTGGTTGAAATTAGTCAGGGCCGTAGCCTGGCTTAGAAGGTTCATAGAATTTCTGATGGTGCTTCGTTCACCGAGTCATGAAGGATCCGTTCATCTAGGGTGTTTAAAGGTCAAAGAACTTGACGTCGCCAAGCGTAAAATTTTGTTGATGGTTCAGAAAGAAGTGTATGGAGAAATACTTAGTGGATTTAAAACCAATGGTAAGGTAGTTAGTCACAATGATCTGAAGGGCTTATCACCGATAATGCTTGATGGGTTACTCTGTGTTGGAGGCCGACTAAGCTACTCAGATTTCTCAAATGCCTTTAAACATCCGATAATATTGCCCAGTCGACACTTAGTGACAGAAATGATAATTAGACATTATCATAAGGAACAAGGGCACACAGGAACGTCACAAGTACTGGCCACGATTCGAAAAAGGTATTGGATAATAAAAGGGACCAGCACGGTTAAGAGAGTGATAGGAAAGTGTGTGACATGCCGGCGGTATACGATGGTTACAGGGCAACAATTGATGGCACCACTTCCAGCTTGTAGAGTGCAACAAGGATGGTATTGCTTCTCAGCCGTGGGAGTAGACTACTTTGGACCCCTTTTTGTCAAAAGAGGAAGATCACTAGAAAAAAGATATGGGTGTGTATTTACTTGCTTGCAAACCCGAGCAGTACATATTGAAATGACACATAGTTTGAATACTGATTCGTTTATAATGGCCTTGCTACGTTTCATTGGAAGAAGAGGGAAACCTGCAGAAATTTACAGTGACAATGGGTCGAATTTCGTGGGTGCGGTCTATGAACTAAAGAGATTTGTGCAACAGTTGAATCAGCAAAGGATAGACAAGGAACTGTCAGCTAGACAGATTCAGTGGCATTTTAACCCGCCCTCATCCAGCCACAGGGGTGGGGTCTGGGAAAGGATGATTAGGTCTATACGTAGACTGTTATTGTTGATAACTAGAGAACAGACTTTAACTGATGAGACCTTAAGCACTTATTTGATTGAAGTTGAAAGGATATTGAACGATCGACCCTTAACTCCAGTCGTCCAAGATGCTAACGATCAACTAGCCTTGTCGCCAAACAGTCTGTTATTATTGAGAGAATGTGACGGAATAGTCGAAGAAGGTAGCATCAGAGATAAATATGACAAACGATGGAAACAGGTTAATCATCTTGCTAATGTGTTTTGGAAAAGGTGGTTAAGAGAGTATTTACCGTCTTTACAGAAGCGTCAAAAATGGTTAGTTGAACATCGCAATTTTCAGAAAGGTGATGTAGTGATCGTGGCTTCGGACATATCGACCCGTGGAAAGTGGCCCTTAGGAGTAGTTGAAGATTGTAAAATAGATGACGACGGAAGAGTTAGAACAGTGGTTGTTCGTACGAACGGTGGGTTAGTCAGAAGAGATATACGTAGATTATGCCTCCTGGAAGGCACGAATTAATTCCTCGCGTATCAATGTAAGTAGGTCGAGTAGGCGTACTGTTGTAAGTCCTACTCGTTCCTGTAGTGCGATATGTTATATAATGAACCATGACCGTAGACATCAAGGTAGCTTGTGTGGTATGGAGGGATTTTGGGGGCCGGTGTAAGATCCATTTTGAATGTTTTGTGTGTTTGTGAAAATCCCTCCATGTATATACTTGTACTTTGTTCCTATTGATTCCCTTAGTTGTACATTGTTGTATTTTGATTACATTTGAGTTGTTAATACTTGTATTTTTTATTATAGTTTTTGTTTTCTTACGCATTCACTAAGTTTGTGTTTCTTCCTGAACTGCATCTGTGTTGTTTTACTTGACACTTGTTCTTGGCGGTAGCCATATTGATTTGTTCCTCCTGTTGTGTGTGATCTATCCAGCCAGGATAGAATAACGTTGATTTGTTGTGATTGGTAAATTTCTTGCATCCTTTATCAACTTTCTTATTTATTGTAATTAGATTTGATCAATTGAACAATTATTGGTTGGATAGCTGAGTGGTTATATTTGTTTAGGTAATAATGTACACTTAAATTTATGATAAATTATAGAACCGCTATCTTACCCAATTCCTTTGTTTTGGTTTCAATCGGGCGAGGGCGCGTATCTAACTCATCCAGACAGCTGTCCAGCAGTCCAAACGTAGTTTGGATCTTACACCAAATGACTCCATAAAATCCCGGAGAAGCCGAATACCAGAAGGCAATTAATGGACCAAGTCGAGTTATATTTGCTGGCGATCTCGTGGCATCGAAAGGATACCGAGATCGTGCCAGGATACAACCTTGGTTACAGAAGGTAACCGAATTCGCGCGAAGTTACAATCGAAGTGTAAGTATAAGAATGGAAGCACGAAATAGCTGTCATTAGCACAGTCAAACAAAAGCACATTAAAACAAACACTGGTACAGTTGGTTATAATAATAATTGTTTTTATTAAACCAGTCGTGTTCTCGTGATAAACGTGAGTCACTACAAGTTCTTGGCAAATAAATTAATCATTATTTCTGGAACTAGTATATTCTTGGTCCTTCTCTGTCTAACATACATTTTTATTAGTCATATGCCTATTGCTTACACTCTATCATAATAAATTTGGCAGTTTCCTGTTTTTAAGCTCAATCTTCGAGGGATTTAAATTTATGCGCATCACTGTCTAGCATGAAAAATACAACTGCTTTCAAGTATCATTTAAAACAAATGGAAGTGCGAGGATTGTGGTGGTAAATAAATTCCCACGGTAAATATTTTTGTAAGTCCTTGACATCAGAGTTGACTTTATTAGTTCTACAAGACACATTTTTAGCGGAAGGAACTTGATCAAGCATCCTTACAAGATAGCGTTTAGGTTCGCTATGCTACTCAGCTATTACATCTACTAAACTGCTTATATTGCGTACACTTTCCAGCACCAGCCATTGTTCAAACATACATCATGACGCTCCTCCACCAGTGAACTCTGGTTTAATTGGCTTTGGAATACCTAGATAAAACACTGTACATCCGAGTCTTCTTGAAATCCTTAGGTAAATAGGCATGAAATACTGTTCTGTTCCGTCAAACTTTAATCGTCTTTATAAAAAGTAATATCACAGATAATACTTACCGATGAAGGTCCTAGTTCTGAGCGCTGAGCGACCCAACTAGGACATTCTGTGATTTGAATAAACGAGTAACTTGTTCTGTTGTTGGAAAAGCGATTACTTAAGCGAAATCGATGGTGGCATGATATGCATCTTTTTCAGCCAGATTACAAGAGGCTAGTAAGTAACTGTATCATAAGCTTTGATAAATCAAGATATTACGAACACATTCATTTTCTATCAGGAATGGTGTCTCGTCCCCCCACCAAAATTAATGGTTTGGTTATGCATAAGTATCCATTCGTGGAACCATACTTTCGGAGTGGAAGTCTTCTACATATGATGGTCAGCCAAACCATTCTAAACTGGAGATTTGTAGTGGCATTGGACAATAACCGCAAAATCCACAGAGCTGAACACGAGACTAATCAGAAAATAGATACTTAATATTTAACGCCGATAAATACCTAACAATGGAGAAGGCGCGAACAATAAATTGAATGGACTGGAGTTGATCGGATGGCATGGCTCGGCCATGCAGGCGTGGTCCATCTGAATGTTACCTTATATCTTCTATTCATATTAAATATATTGTTCCTTCTCTAGCTTAACCTTGTTCTACATCATGTATTGGTAATTGATACGATACAGTGAGTTGGCGTAGTCGATTGTGTGACTTCCACGTAAGATCTTATAGATTAGGTAGTTATATCATGACAAATCTACAAATTTAGGATTAGGTCTATTATTAGAGCAGTACTAATATCATAGTAGACCATAGTTCTACAGATTTATAACTTTTCTGATACTGAAATATTACTGGCCAGTTGTTTGAGTGTTCATTGTTTCGAGCTTCATTGAAAATTGGTTTGGCGTTTTCCAACTTCCATTTCTCCTGGATCTGGGCACTACTTAAGGAGTGAGAGTACGGAATTGGACCGCTGCATAGATTGAATGGTCTTGGGTCAGATAGCAGAAGCTTGCATACACTGGTCATTTGTTTTTAATAATAATATATTTCTGAATGAGCAGGTACACGCCATATTCACGGGCATGATCTACAAATTACAACACTTGTTGGCTCACAGCAACAGATCAGCAGTGTTTGTAGGTAAGGGTTCAGGTGCGTGAAATACGTCTCAGTAAAGCATCTTACAGTAGTTTTGAGTTCTTAAAAGAATTGGCATCTCCGTAAGACGGGCTAGTGGGGTGTACCGGAACCTCATCATATGAAGAGCAGTTTGCGCTCTCATAGAATTTTGGTTCACTTCGTTATCAGTACTGCTCTTATAATAGACCTAATCCTAAGATTTTAGATTTGTCGTGATGTAACTGCCTAATCTATAAGATCATACCTGGAAATCACATCACTGTTCACACTGACTCATCGTATCGTAACAGTGACAAACATATGATAGAGAAAACACTTACGGTGGAGATAGAACAATATATTTAATATGAATGAAAGGTACAGGCTACAAAAGAATGGCCGGGCCATGCCATTCGATGAGTTTCAACTAATTGAGTTAATCCTTTCCGCTGTCTCCATTGTTGGGCTTTTCCCCGCGTTAAATGTTGAACATCTATTTTCCCGATTGTCTCGAGTTCAGCTTTGGGGATTGTGTGGTTTCGGGCCAATGCTCCCACACTTTCACCCACTTCAGTAGAATAGGCGTTGTATTGGTGTCTCACACAAGTATAGCCCAAAAAGTATCAAAAACTGGAGGCTAGTCATGTTAGTATTGACAAACCCAAACTCAAACGTCTTGGCATAACGATTCAAGCGTTGTCAGTCTGTGTACTTACTCTCTTTGTATTAAATACATTATTCTATTGTCTCATTTTGGATGGTTTTGTTCCATCCTCATTAAAGCCCAAAAGAAGAACTCTTTCTCCTTTGCTAAAAAGTGTTATAAACACACCAAACAGCATTTAGAGTACAGCCATAAACAGCGCAGATGTCGTCGCAACTGTTTAGGGTCAAAAGTTCTCATATATGTCTCTAGTTTTCATAAATCGTTCTTCAGAGTTATTTACATGTGGTTCCAACGAGACTATGAATTATGGACGGACGAATCAGGTGCAAGGTGATATGTCTCGGATTTGGGCGCGAAATTCACTCATCCATTTGGTTAAATAGCGTTTCGGCATTATAGCTGATGTCACTTCGTAGCGAGAACCCTAAATCCATTCCCTAACTTTGACCGTCAACTGTAAATCATAATTCTAATTCCCCACACATAAATATAACCCTCATTTGGTTGTAGTTATGAGGCGACCACTCAAGGTCAGTTCAGCTTCGCTCAAAGGCCGTCCATAAATTATGGTCTTACCGCAGTTCTTTGAATACCAACGAAAAGTTACACAATGACGTTTTATGTTACCGTGATCATGCCTGGAAAAGGCGTGCAATTTGAAAAACCTCTTTCAAAAAAAGAAATGTTATTGAAAATGCGAACCGATCTAGTTCGGATAACTACTGTAACAACTAGAATATTCACACAACTGCATGCCGACACAAATGTCTTGTGCAAACTAAGAAAAAATGCCTTTCCAGCAGACTTTGCGCATTCTTGTCTAGTTCGACGATGAGACTTTCCATCTAATCTTCAACAGTTTTAATAATAACAACAATAATTTATTCTCAAATAACAATTTGTTACATGAGACATGCCAGTTTACAGACAAGATCAAATTGTTACAAATTATACAATATCCACTGTAGTAAATTACTCAGCAGGGTTGATAATTTATAAGATATGAAATGTAAATGGTTGTAGTCAGTATCACAGTTGGCGCGCTTCATGAAAGTGGCGTTGCGACGTGCAACTGATGGTCAAGGACAGATCCATTGAAGCTGGGAGCGTCTAGAAATCACAACCATATATCCCTTTGGAATAACTGGGGCTCTATCGATGGTGCAGGATTGAATCACCCGTTCCATATCTCAAGGGGGCTGAAAAAAGGAGCAACTAAAAGAAAGGGCGAGAGGCAGAGCAGCCAATGTTCATGGAAGAAAATTTAAGGTATGGCTACTCAGTCTAATTTTCCTTTACTAGAATATTTACTAAGCAAGAGCATTCTAATAGGTTAAAGAAAATAAGTGTAAACCAGTTATGAGTGAATAAAAAGATGACAAATGAAGGTGGTTCAGAAAGAAGCTGAGAGTATGGAATTATGTTTAGTTATAAAATATAGTGCTAAAAACAGTGTTGTGATACCCAATTAGCTATTTCCCTTTTTTCGAAGCTATTGGAGCCTTTTTATTTATATATTAGTTTTTTTTGTAGATTTTATAGGGTCTTGAGTAGGCTTCGTATTTTAGTGAATTGTCTAGTTTGCTTGTAGTAAGACTACTGTTCTACTGTACGAGGCTCAAATATGGAGAACTGCTATAACCATCATCTGAAAAGTACCTGTATTTATAAACTATTGTCTAATAATAATAATTTATTCTCAAGTAACTGTTTGTTACATGAGGCATTTTTGTTGGTCAGTAACGCCACTCTCCCTCCTTTTGTGATGTTAGGCTCTCTTACGTTTGTGGTAAGTATGAATATTGCTTCAATCAAAACCCATAGTTGGAATACACTGTCTCTACTAGCTCGATATTACAAGCAAATCAGATGGATAAAGCATTTGTATTATGGGTTAAACATCCATTTAGTATATCACACTGCTATGAAGATAATTAATGGTAAACGTTTTTAAAAAAGGTCAGATTATATGTGGTTTAGAGATGGTAAGGACTAATAGCGAATCAAAGAATATGAAAGAGTATAAATTTGTAAAATTTTCAGGGTAAGAAAAATAAAACATTGAGCAACTCACAAGAATTTAGCACATTTTTAGTTTCTTATGATCGGCCTTAGTTGATCAGCATTCATAAGTTTAGTGAGTTATCTGTCTACTTGCAATAGAAAAAAAGGACATGACGCTTAGGAATAATAATGTATCTTTAACCATTAGAGAGGTTCGGAAATT